AAGCCTAATAATAAAATTTTTCATATCATTTTCCTCCTGAGATACGCTATTTGACCTCTATAGCATGAAAGACTTATAGCATCAAAAAAAAAAAAAAAAAAGAATGATATTTTATCTTGTACTGATGAACTGTATAAGTTAATCACCAAATATGTGTTGAGTACATATTATATCTTTAAGTCTGTTAAAAATCATGTAGGACACACATTTTTAAAAAACAGGTGCTGACTCAGAGCTTTAGGAGATGACAGATAAAAATTCCTAACACACTGCAGAACACATGCGAGACGACCATTCAGTACTGAATAGTAATAATAGCTGGCAAGTGCTATAAAAATTCAGAAGAGAACATATGGGGGCTCTGCTGACTAAGAAAGGAATTTTGTTCCTGACATTTTCTTGCATATAGCTTTGCAAACCTCAATCCTTTAAAAATTTCTTAAGTATTACAGTGGTGATATAAGCATTCTCTTCATGTTCTTATCTTTATTGGAATTCTTCTATATTTCTTGATTAAGTATTTAACCCTCCTCTGGTTGTTCTAATTCAATGTAAATTAGAATTATAGGGGGATGGAAGGGATGGAAGGAGAAAAGGGTGGGAGGGAGGAAATTTGGAAAGGATGAGACAAAATTATTTGTCTGATGATATGATTAGCTATGTAGAAAACCAAAAAATCAAATTTAAAACCTACTGGAACCCAATATGGAGCCCTGGTGGTACAGTTGTTAAGAACTCAGCTGTTAACCAAAAGGTCAGCAGTTTGAATCCACCAGCCGCTCCTTGGAAATCCTATCGGGCAGTTCTATGCTGTCCTATAAGGTCGCTATGAGTTGGAATCAACTTGATGTCAAAGAGTTTTCTTGTTTGTTTGTTTAGAACCTATTATGGAGCTCTGATGGCACAGTGGTTAAGAGATCGGCTGCTAATCAAAAGGTCAGCAGTTTGAATCCTCCAGCCGCTCCTTGAAACTTTATAGCGCAGTTCTACTCTGTCCTATAGGGTCCCTATGAGTTGGAATCGACTTGATGGCAATAGGTTTGATTTTTTTTGATAGAACCTATTATGGTACTGGTGAAGAATACTGAATATACCACGGACTGCCAGGAGAACGAACAAGTCTGTCTTGGAAGAAGTACAGCCAGAGTGCTCCTTGGAAGCAAGAATGGTGAGACTTTGTCTCACATACTTTGGACACGTTATCAGGAGGGACCAGTACCTCGAAAAGGACATCATGCTTAGAAAGGTAGCGGGTCAGTGAAAAAGAGGAAGACCCTCGATGAGATGGCTTGACAAAGTGGCTGCAACAGTGGGCTCAAACATAGCAATGATTGCGAGGATGGCACAGGACCTGGCAGTGTTTCATTCTGTTGTACACAGGGTTGCCATGAGTTGGAACCGACTTGATGGCACCTAACAACAATAGCAGCAGAACCTATTAGAGTTCAGAAAGATGGCCAGTTAGAAAATAAAATCAGAAAAATCGATAATTTACTTATATGCCAGTAGCAACAAGCTAGAAAAATAAGACGTGCAAGATTTATTTGGAAGAAACTACAGAAAGTACATAAAAGTAAACTTAGCTGAAATACCACGTTCTTAGAGGGAAGATCAAAAATTACGAAGGTGACTAATATCTCAAAATTAACGTACAGGTGGTTACAACGGAGGGAAGGGATGGAGAGGGGAAATAACTAGATAGTAGACACATTAACTTTGGTGAAGGGAAGACACATGATATAGGAGAACACAGCACAACTTGACCAAGGCAGTCACAGAAGCTTCCTAAACAC